GACCATCCGTCTAGGACCTGAGAGCTGGTGTTGGGCTCCATCCATCCGTCCATCCATCCATCCGTCTGTCCGTCCATCCTTCCATCCATTTCACCTGCTCATCCCACAGCCTGCCTGAGCATTTGCTCCTTGCCCAGCTCTGCTTGGGGCACTGGGGAAACATAGGAGGTGAGGATTCAACAGGCGTTAGAAAGATGGGTCCAGCCCAAAGGTGCCCAGGGCCTGGACGAGGGAGAACCCACTGTGGGCTGGGACTGGGAGGCAGGGGACTTCCGGAAAGGCTTCCAGGAAAAGAGGTGACATTTGCCCTGGGGCTTGAAGGTTTGGGCAGGTGGAGGTGGAGGCTGTGAGGTCAGGGAGGGGTGTGGGGAGCAGGTGGAGGTGGAGGTTGTGCGGTCGGGCAGGGGTGTGTGAAGCAGGTGGAGGTGGAGGTTGTGCGGTCGGGCAGGGGTGTGTGAAGCAGGTGGAGGTGGAGGCTGTGAGGTCAGGGAGGGGTGTGGGGAGCAGGTGGAGGTGGAGGCTGTGAGGTCGGGGAGGGGTGTGGGGAGCAGGCGGAGGTGGAGGCTGTGAGGTCGGGGAGGGGTGTGGGGAGCAGGCGGAGGTGGAGGCTGTGAGGTCGGGGAGGGGTGTGTGAAGCAGGCGGAGGTGGAGGCTGTGAGGTCGGGAGGGTGTGGGGAGGCGGAGGTGGAGCTGTGGGTCGGGAGGGTGTGGGGAGCAGGCGGAGGTGGAGGCTGTGAGGTCGGGGAGGGGTGTGGGGAGCAGGCGGAGGTGGAGGCTGTGAGTCGGGGAGGGGTGTGGGGAGCAGGCGGAGGTGGAGGCTGTGAGGTCGGGGAGGGGTGTGGGGAGCAGGCGGAGGTGGAGGCTGTGAGGTCGGGGAGGGGTGTGGGGAGCAGGCGGAGGTGGAGGCTGTGAGGTCGGGGAGGGGTGTGGGGAGCAGGCGGAGGTGGAGGCTGTGAGGTCGGGGAGGGGTGTGGGGAGCAGGCGGAGGTGGAGGCTGTGAGGTCGGGGAGGGGTGTGGGGAGCAGGTGGAGGTGGAGGCTGTGAGGTCGGGGAGGGGTGTGTGAAGCAGGTGGAGGTGGAGGCTGTGAGGTCGGGGAGGGGTGTGGGGAGCAGGTGGAGGTGGAGGCTGTGAGGTCAGGGAGGGGTGTGGGGAGCAGGTGGAGGCTGTGAGGTCAGGGAGGGGTGTGGGGAGCAGGTGGAGGTTGTGGGGTTGGGCAGGGGTGTGGGGAGTAGGTGGAGGCTGTGGGGTTGGGTAGGGGTGTATGGAGTAGGTGGAGGCTGTGGGGTTGGGTAGGGGTGTATGGAATAGGTGGAGGCTGTGGGGTAGGGTAGGGGTGTGGGGAGTAGGTGGAGGCTGTGGGGTAGGGTAGGGGTGTGGGGAGTAGGTGGAGGCTGTGCGGTCAGGCAGGGGTGTGGGGAGCAGGTGGAGGTGGAGGTTGTGTAGTCAGGCACAGGTGTGTGGAACATCGGTGGAGGTGAGGCTGGAGATAAAGAGAAGCCTGAGGATCTAGGTGTAGAATGCAGGGGTATTGGGGGAGACATAGGGGACTGCAGGTTCACAAGCAAGAGGGAGGGCTGTGAGTGGCATTTTAGGAGGAAAAGCAATGCTGAGACCCACCTCGGACAATGCGTGTCCAGCCTGAGCCTTCCTGTCTGTCCATCCATCCCTCTGAGCTTTATGTCCTTGTGGCCAGGGAGGGAGGAAGCTGGAAGGGTGGCCGGGAGCCACCTTGGCCTCTGTCCTCCCTCCTCCCTTCCTTGGGAGGCTCTGCCGGTGTTGCCGCTTAGTCTGGAAAGAATTTGCAGAGGGAAGGCAGGGCCATGTTGCTCAGGGGTGGGACCCTGGCAGGAGGGGACGGTGGAGGTGGGCATGGGGAGGTAGGGCAGGGTCTCTCTCAGGGTAGCAGAGGCTGGGCTGAGGCTGGCATCAGAGGAAAGTCCAGGCATGGGACGCACCTACCTCTCTCTGCAGCCCACTTCTGTGCACACTGTCTGCTAGGGACTTGCCCAGTGGGTGTTATCCAGGGCTGGTCTTGGTCTCTGGGGACACTCGATAATGAATGTTTGGAGACACTTCCATTTGTTGCCACTGGGCTGGGGCTGAGCAGCCATTAGGGTCTGGCTTCTAGGGTCCAGGGAGGCTGCCTGATAGCCCCTCATGCACAGGCCAGCCTCACAACCAACAATGAGCCACACTCAATGTCAGGGGCCACAGCGCAGAAGCCATCCAAGAGATGGCGGGCCCTCCCCTGGCTGTGCCTTGGTGGGGCTCTCGTGGTGGCTCTCCTGCCATGCCTGGGGTCCACACGAGGTGGGCTTGTGCCTGGCCACGAGGCCCGGGAGCGGTGTGCTCCTGCCTTCTTGCAGGAGGTCACACAAGGGCAGAGGATGCAGCGGCCGGGTGTCCAGGACAGTGAGGCTGCCCTGGGTCGGAAGGATCACACAGGGGGGGTTCCGGGGGAGCCCATGGCAGGGGGCTGGGGGGAGGCTGTGGCTGGGGCAGGGGCTGGACTGCTCGGGCTGTGGTCCAGGCCTTGGTGAGGGCAGCGGTTGCAAAGCTTGGTCCCCTCCATCCCCCAGCACCCCCACTGCCACCCCGACAGCCTCCAGGTGGTCCCAGCCTCAGGACCTGAAGACAAGGCCAGGGCTGGGGTGGAGGGAGGAGCTGCCTGGAAAGCTGTTTGCTCAGCCGGGGTTTAATCTCCAAAACAGGAAGGCCGTATTGACAGAAGCAGCAGCCGGAACTGCCGCGGGCTGCCAGGTTACAGTCCCTGGTCCCTCCTCCTGTCCCCACACCGGGGGGCTCCCCCACGGACCCTGCCCTCAAATACAGCTGCTCCCATCACCTCCCACAGCCCCCCAAGCTGTACCTTGGGGAGACAGTACCCCGCTTGCTCTGCAAGCTGCAGGGAGGACTGGTGCCAGAGTGGGGCAGGAGGCTGGAGGGGGCTCCAGGGTCACAGGCCCGGCCGGGTATGACTCTTGGCCTCATTTTGCAAATGAGGAAGCTGAGCCCAGAGAGGGAAGTGAGCTGGTCCGGGTCCCACAGGGTGGGGTAAGGGTGGTCTGCCCGGGCGCCCCCACCCCAGGTCTCTAACACTCTTGGGAGTGGCTCTGTCCACCGTCACCACTGTCCAACCTGCACAGCATCCCCCGTGCCTGGCCTCCCTGTCCCTGGGGTACCCGGGAGGGCGGACCCAGCTGGGGCTCAGCAGGGCTCAGCAGGGCTGTGGTGCTGTGAACCCTCTGGTAGTGGGTGGACATTATACATCCACCCGCTGCCAGAGGAAGCTGCAGAGACAGGCAGGGTAGCATGCTAGGCAGCCCCGGCAACCTCTGAGGTCATTCTGGGCGGCCACTTTACCCAACAGCAACGTCAGGCCCCTTAAGAGCCTGGCGGTCCCTTATCTTCTCCCTGGTGGCTGACTCAGTAGGACTGGGGATCTCCAGGCAGGGCTGAGATCACCCCCAGGTCACCCGGGGCAGCCCACGAACCTCTCTGGACCTTGGCCTTCCTGGATCTCAGTTCCATGCCCACTGCTTGTCCTGAGCTGGAGCTGGGTAGGAGCTGGCTCTGAGGGCTGCCCCTAAATCCTAGAGATGGGGCTCGGCTTTGCCACCCTCCCTTGGCGCCCCACTGCCCATTTAGGAGGGCTGGCTCTGTCCCTGGTGTTCTCGGGCCACCCCCTGGCCCACTCTGTCTGCTAAATCCCCTAGGTCCTGCCAGGCCCAGGCTTCCCACACTCCAGCCGCCCCTCTGGGTCTGCCTGGAGTGCTCAGTGTCTCCACCCCTGTGGGAAGTCTCCTTGCTTCTCCTTCCTCCACTGCACATGTTGCCTGTTCCTGGGTTCCCTCCAGCCCTCAGCACAGCCCGACACCCACAAAGTACTCAGCCCAGATGCCGACGGAATGGAGCTGAGCTTCCTGAACTTGGCCCTTGCTAGAAGAGTTGGAAGAAGGGACCTTGAAGAGCGTCTAGGTCCAAGTCCCATTTCACAGATGGGAAGATGGAGGCCCCGGGCCCACATGGCCAGCAGCAGATGTCTCCAGCCACCCTTGAAAGTGAACCCCTCAGGTTCACCCCTCCAGGTGCCTCCCATATGCCAGGAAGTCCCAAAGTTCTGAGGGGCTGAGGCTCCAAGACTTCCCCTGGGCGAGGTCTTTGGTGGTGCCAGGGGGTGAAGGTGGACCTTCAGGCATGGTGGTTTTCCGGCCAGGCCTGCTTCTCCCTGCGACCCCTCGGAAAGCCCTGCCCGGCTGGGAGACTGAGCAAAAGCTGGACATGCCCAGGCCAAGGAATGGGCAGCTGGCTGGCCTGCCTCAGCGGGGTGGGGCCTGGGGACCAGTCCAGGCCTGCCCCCCAACAACCTGGACCATGGTGTCTCTCTGGCTGGAGAGTCCCCTGTCCTGGCTGCGTCTCCAGCCTCAGGTGGGGTCCTAGCTGTTTCTTTCTGGTCTCAGCTGCGCCCCCCACCCCAGCCTCCACACCCCCCCTGCAAACCAGCAGTCACTTGAGCCCTCCTTGAGGCTCTGAGGCCCCCCACCCAGGGCAGATCTTCAGGCCTAGGGCATCCTTAGAGGCTGGGCTGTGCCCAGTGGTGGCCGCCCCTCCCTCGTGTCTCATCCCCACCTGCCATGGCCGTCACTCTATCTCAGCGACCCAGTTTTCCTCCTTGTCTCTGTTGGTGGGGCGGGTGGCCCTAGGGGGACAGTGTCCCCCTTTGTGGCCCGGCGACCGATGGATCAGGTGTCCCTGGTGGGGCCGGCAGGCGCGTCTGCTGGCTCGGGCCAGGGGCCACGGCTTTCAGGTCTTCAATAGCTCAAGATTAGGTTCCGTCCCTGGGGGCCCCTGTTGTGTGGCCATTGTGATGGCCTGGGAACCACAGCCTCCAGGCCAGAGAGGGATGTGTCTCCCTGCCCATGGGAGTCCTGGCCTCCTCCAGGCCGTTTGGGCACCCTGCAAGGCATGTAGAAGTGCGCACATACAGCCACAGCCAGTATAGAAGAGGCACTGTTTCTTTACAACCCGATGAGCAGAGCACGGGCTGGATCTCAGGTGTGTGCTGCTGATCAGTGCACGACCTGCACGGGTGTGCACGGTGGCCCTGGCACCGCCCCGGCCCCTCGCACCTTTCTCAAGAGTTTCTTCAGCTTCATGGCTCCCCTCGGCTGCATCCTCCCATAGGCCCCCACTCAGATTGCAGCGCTGGTCCTCGGCTGCTGGCTGGCGGCTGACAAAACCACAGGCCAATCCCCGCTGGCAGGATGGGGACAGGCTGACAATTTCATGTCCTAATTGCAGGGCCTTGCATTTCCTCCTCTGGAAACTCAGGTGTGGAATGAGTGGGGCTGTCGGTGCAACCTGGGCGAGATTCCTCTCGGCCTCCCTGGGTCTGATCAAGGTCACCGACCCCCAGCTGTAGCCCCCAAGACTGGCTCCTGATGGCTTTTGTGCCCTGCTCAGCAAAAGCTCAGCTGCGATCCTCTTGGTGGCCCAGACAGAGGTGACCACATAGTGTATCGTCTTTCGAGGGTGGGAGGGAGCTCTGTTCGTAATTACTCCTGGGGCATTCTGGGGCTATTGCAGGAAACGGAATATGTCACCAACGGAGACGCAGATCCCCTAGCAGGATGCATGCCGGCCGGCACACGACTCGGAGCACGAGAGGGGCCTGTGATCGTGTGGTGCTTACGTGCTTCACGCGTGTGTGCGGAAGCACGGGTGAGCCCGTGGGGAGCATGGCGCACTGCCACTGTGCACACGTGGGCCGGCCATGTGTGGGAACACGTGTGTCCCTGTGTGCACACACCCAGAGCCCGTCCCGGCAGCCCGGAGACGGCTCCTTCCCCTTGTACAGCTGGAGACTCCGGAAGGAGGAGGCGGGTCGGGCTGGCCTCCTGCTTGATGAGGGTAAGACGAACAGGCCAAGGTGGGAGGCCAAGGCCAGGTCTCGCTCAGGCTGGGGCGTGGCCCTAACACATGTTTCCTGCCCAGCGTAGTGGCGGCAACCTTGGACAGGAGGTTGGACCCCATCAGGAAGGTTTTGCTTCAAGATATGGGGCTTCCGAGGCTGGGTCAGCTTCCCCAGCGTTTGCATTCATCCTAACATGTGACTGCCTCTTCCTCCAGGCAGCCTTCCGTGACTTCTGCTGTCGCCCCAGTGGCCTCTGTCTCCAGAGCAGGTGGAGCAAGAGGCTATCTGCTTGCTCCCTGGACCCAGCGGACATATTCCCAGAGACAGGTAGGATCTGCTTTGGGGTACACAGCCAGCTCTGGCAGAATGGGGCCAGACCCCAAGGAGTGCCCCTCCTAGGTCAGGGCACTTGTGACTATGGCTGCCCTGAAATCCTCTTGGGGCTTCTTGCTGGGGGTCCACTCTGGGCCCCACTGAACTTTGCTTTAGGAGCATAGGGCCTTTGGGCTGGGTGTGTCCTCCAAGGGCCAGGCCTGGTGACTCCTCCAGGCATGGGGCAGAGGCTGGGGGCTGAGAGGCAGCTGCTGCTGAGGCCTTCAGTAGAGGGAGGCCAGCATCAGGCAGATGAATGGGCCATTCAGGCAGGAGAATTTTCAGGGTCACCTTGGCCAGCCCCGAGCAGCCACCGAACCCTCCCCTTCCTGCAGCTGGAAATATCATTGTGATGTGGGATGCTGGAGATGGGACAGGAGCCACACAGACCCAGCTTTGCCCTCTGGAACTCACAGCATCCCGGCAGCCGGCAGAGAGAGAGAGAGGGCCGGCAAACAACTCCACGAGGGGGTCCCGCGATAACATGCGAGAAGTGGGTGGAGAATGCCTGGCAAGCCTGGGTAGCCAAGGAGGGCCGGACAAGCAGGTGCATGGGCTCAGACATGGAGGGTGCCTGGGGACATCATCCTGGGGCAGGAAACGGCAGGTGCAAAAGCCCTGGGGCCGGATGAGGTGCTGGCTCCCTCACTCCCTTGCTCAGGGAACATCTGAGCAGCACCCCCCAGAAGCAAGGGCTGTGCTCGTGTGCATGGGCCAAGCTCCGGAGAGAACTCGGGAGGCTCCCAGGTCTGAGGGGGATGGGGGCCAGGGCTGGGTGGTGCAGAGGATGAGGGGATGACCTTCCTCCCAGAGACAGAGTACCAGGGGAGAGAAAAAGGCCTCTGGCATCCCTGTCCAGTGCATGGAATTGTGGGGGCTTGGAGGCATCCTGTGGCCAGGCTGCAGGAGTTCCCAGCCAGACCTGGTCCCCTGGGAAACGAGGTCCGGGAGGCCTGGTTTGCTGTGAGCCCACCTCCACAACCCACCTGGCCAATGAGCAGAAGCCTGAGCTGGGGTTCAGGGACCCATCCGTGGAGTCGCCCCTGAGGGAGGGCTTCCCACGTGGCACCCCACTGGGCCCCTCTCCCAAGCCCTCACCCCTCCCTCCCAGGCTCTGGAAACCTCTTGCTGTCCCCCCAAGTTAGTGTCCAGGACTGCTTTCACAAATGGCCACAGACTTGGCTGGAAACAAAATAAATTCATTGTCTCAGTCTGGGAGGTCAGAGGTTGAGATCAAGGTGCCCGCAGGGCTGGTTTCCCCCAAAGCCAGGAAGGGTCTGCTCTGTCTGCTCTATCCCACCGTGGTGTCTGGCGGCTGCCCGCCAGACTTGGGCAGCTTAGGGAGGCCTCCCCGCATCTCTGCCTCCATCTTCACGCAGCCTTTTCTCTGAGCCTGTGTGCCGTCTCATCTCAAGATCCTTAACTTAATTACTTCTGCAAAGAACCCTTCTCCAGGTGCGGTGGCTCATGCTTGTAATCTCAGCACTTTGGGTAGCTGAGGTGGGTGGATCACTTGAGGTCAGGAGTTCGAGACCAGCCTGGCCAACATGGTGAAACCCCGACTCTCCTAAAAATACAAAAATTAGCTGGGCGTGGTGCTGCATGCCTGTAATCCTAGCTACTTGGGAGGCTGAGGCAGGAGAATTGTTTGAACCCAGGAGGCGGAGGTTGCAGTGAGCTGAGATTGAGCCACTGCACTCCAACCTGGGCGACAAGAGTGAGACTCCGTCTCAAAAAAGAAAAACAACAAAGCGCTTCTCCAAACAATGTCCCCTTCATGGGTTCTGGAGGTTAGAACTTAGACACATCTTTTTTGGGGGCCTTTATTCAACCCACAACACCCCCAAATACCAGGAATCTGGAAAATTGGGTCTTCTTTCACTGCTAAGCCAGTTCCCCTGCACTTCATCCATGTGGGCTTGGGGGCCATGGCACCCCCCCTTGGCATGTGTAAGTTAGGGGACAGAGAGGAGGGCTGGGAAGGATAAGTTGGGGGCCTGGGGCCTGATGGTGCAGGCAGAGTGCAGACTCAAGGAGCAGTCAGCACTGTGCCTGCCCACCAGGAACACGGCCTGTGGTCCCCGCCCCAGTGTGAAAAGAATGGACAGAAAACGCCTCGCCCCGTGCCTCCTGCTCAACTCTAGGGACCCAGGAACCTGCCTGGCACAAGAGACAGAGGGGTGCACATGGACACAGAGATGGGCCCCTAGTCCCAGGCCCGCCGTAGACCCCACGCCAGGCCCAGAGGGGCACACATAGACCATAGACCTCACGCCAGGCCCAGAGGGACACACATAGGCCATAGACCCCACACCAGGCCCAGAGGGGCACACATAGACCATAGACCTCACGCCAGGCCCAGAGAGGCACACATAGACCATAGACCTCACGCCAGGCCCAGAGGGACACACATAGGCCATAGACCCCGCGCCAGGCCCACTCACGGGCAGGATGTTTCTCCTCCAGCCCTCAGGTCCGGGCATGAGCTCCGGGCCAGCAGCCACCAGGCCCTAGGCCAGCGAGTCCCGGCTTCCAGCACTCGCTCCACCAGCCGGAAGGTGCTTTCCACCCCATAATCACCTGTGCCAAGCACAGGCTCAGTTGATCTTCCGAAACGCTGTTTACACCATGTGGAAACCAAGGCTCGGCGCTCCCCCAGCCCGGAGGTGGTAGGACCACGATTTGAAGCTGGGTCTCCGAGTGTCCACCTGCTGACACCTTCCTCGGCCCCGACAAGCGGCCTGGAAGCGGCAGAGCTGGGAATGCTCCTGCATCACCCCTGAGCTCTGCCGGGGGTCTCAGTGTCCCCATCTGCGAAATGGGATAAGGGCCCTGCACACCAGCCTTGCTCCCAGGGGCCAGAGAGGGGAGGGACAGTGTCCCTAGTGACAGATTCAGAAACCGAGGCCAGGAGACACTGGCCTGGACGCCCCTGCCCAGCAGATGCGGGTCGGGTCGGGGCAGGCCCAGGCCCCAGCTGGCCCACCACCTGCTGACCTGCTTCCTCCCGGGGCCTCTGCGGGGAGGCGGTGGGAACTGACCTCCTCTCTGCCTCTCAGCCCCAAGGCAGCCGCCCCCTGGGAGGCCTGGTCCGGGGCTCAGGTGTCCCGCACAGCCGGTTTCTCCGCCTCTTCCCATCCTCGCCTCTGTGGAGCCAGAGGGGGGTCACTCCCCAGGGGCCACAGGCAGTTGTGGCCCTGCCGTTGAGTGGGCTGGCTCTGCTGCCTCTCCCACAGCCCCCAGGAGGCCGGGCTGCCCAGGTGTGTCCACAGGGACCTCCCCAGAAGCCCCTTCCCACGACCCTGTGCCCGCCCCCATGATGTTCATACCTGAGGCTTTCTCTGCAGCCCCTGGCCCGCGCTGGTGGGGGTCGTGGGCCCAGGTGAGGCTGGTGGGCTTCAGGCCAGGGGCTTCCAAGCAGCTCCTTAGCCATGCCGTCCTCCTTAGGGGTCAGGACCATGACCTCATTTCGTAAGTCCTGAAAGGGAGACTCCTGGTGCTGGGGCCCACGGTCCGACAGCTCTGCAAGCTGACTCCCTGTTTGCCCTTTCCCAGACCTGCCCTGGGTTTGGCAGCAGAACCTCAGGGGGAAACCGAGGCTGAGAAGGGCTGGGTGCTTTGCTCAAGGCCGTTGGCCAGCCCAGTTCATCTGCCTCTTGGATCCACACTCCCACGGCTTCCGTCTTGCTTTTGCTAGTTATTAGCTGGGTGGCCTTAGGTGAGTGGCACAACCTCTCTGTGCCTCAGTTTCTTCAGCTGTAAAATGGGAATAACTAGAAGGCCCGCTTTGAAGGGTGTTGTGCAGATGACACAAGGCATCGGCTGTGGTACACGGCGAGGGTGCAGTGCCAGGCCACTGTTATTCTTACCATTACCATTTTAATTGTCTGGCTGTCCCAGCTGTGCTTGGAACTTCAAAGCGCCGGGGCCTCGCCTGTCTTGTTCGCTACTGAGCCCTGGCCATGGGCACACGGTTTAGGTCAGGGACTGGTTTTAAAATAGAAGCAGAAGCTTGAACGCAGCTCTGCCTGCCTGGAGGCCAAGCCCTCTCCCCACTGACTCCCCAGTGAGACCCCCTCCACCAAGCCTGTGCCCTTCACGGGGTCTCTGAGTCCCACAGCTGTGCCCTAAGGGGTTGTTTTTCTCTGCCTTGCCACAGCCAGGAAACTGAGCCTCGGAGAGGGCAGGCCTAAAGAAAGACCATGTGAGCTTAGTGGGTGCCAAGGAGCGGGAGGATCGGCTGGGGGAGGATGGAGGAAGGCAGCACTGGGGGCTGGGGGCCCCTGCAGGCAGAAGGCTGGGCCCATTTCCATGTGGGTGGGCCTGCTCCAACTCGCCACCTGGCACGGCTGCAGGTGCCCACACAACGGCAGACCCGTGCCCCCCAGTGCAGCCTGTGCCAGCCACCACAGCCAGAGGGGTGGCTGTGGGCAAGTTTACTGTCTCTGCCCACCTCAACCCCAGGACAGGACCTGGGGACAGGAGACCACCCCCAGGTACAGCCGCGAGGGCAGCAGACTCTCCTACTCCAAGAGGCAGCCCATGGCACAGACAGCTCACACAGCGGCCCACCAGGACGCTCATTCATTCTCTCATTCATTCATTCGTGCATGCATGCGTTGATTCTGCAGATAGTCGTGGGTTCTTGCTGTGCGGCCATGGGCAAGTCTCTTGTCCTCTCCGGGCTGTGAAGTCTCCCATTCGGCAGAGGAGTCAGACCCCCACCATGTGTCAGCTGAAGGTCTCTGGGAGGGGGTCCGGACAGGAAGCACAGGGTCGGGGCAGCCGCAGGCTGAGACAGCACAACGGCTGCGGCTCTTCCACAGTCTCCCCGGAGAGTTCTGGAATCTCGCTCTCGCCCACGCATGGACTGCAGGGAGAAGCTCCCCCGCCTGTCCTCGCCCCACTCCCCTCTTCCTGCTGTCCCGGCCCCTGACCATCCCTCCCCAATGGGGGGTGTATGGGGAGCCTTGCTGTCAGACCTCCTGAGAAGCCCTGGAGATGGTGGACCCTTCCTTAGCCCCTGTGGCAGATGGGGAAACTGAGGCTGGCAGGCGCTTCCTCCTCCTACTCTGCCCAGTGGCCTCCGTGACCCTCTCCCCAGATGGCCTCTCTCACCTCACACCCCCCGACCCCTAAATGGCCTGCGCACTCCCCCCATCTCCCGGGGTCCCGCCCAGCCAGCACACCCTCTACCACACACCCCACACCCCAAATGACCTCCATGTCCCACCCACTTCCCAGGGTCCTAGCACCCTCACCACATTTTGCACCTCCTGTCCCCTCACCCCAGCATAGTTCAGCTCCCCCCCAAGATGGCCCCCACCTTTGGGGCTACCCCTGGCAGGGTGGGCCTCAGGGAGCTGAAAGCCCTGGCAGTGGCTCGTGGGAGGAGGCCTGGGCATGGATGTCTGGGCCGCAGGAGTCCGAGAGCCATCCCGAGGGGAGAGGGGGTCAGTGAGAAGTGGGTTAGGGCTGTCTCCCCCTAGCTGCAGGACCCAAAGGGTCAGCGTCAGCCTCTGCCTCCCCCAGGAGGCCCCAGCCTTTCCTCCTAAGACTCAGTTTACTCCGCTGCCAAATGGGACCATTTCTTGTCCTTCCAACCCCACGAAATTTCCATGAGACAATGAAGGGCAGTAAAGGTTGTGGGCAGCCCTCAGTCCGTGCCCAGCTGTGGGCAGCCCTCAGTCTGCGCCCAGCTGTGGGGAGAAGGATGGGCAACCCTCAGTCCGCGCCCAGCTGTGGGGAGAAGGACAGGCTGGGACCCCAATGCCCCACCACCAAGGGACAGGCTGGGTCCCCCACACCCCACCTCCAGGTGACAGGCTGAGCCCCCCATACCCCACCTCCAGGGGACAAGCTGGGCCCCTCTGCACCCCACCTCCACGGGACAGGCTGGGTCCCTGCACCCCACCTCTAGGTGACAGACTGAGCCCCCCGTACCCCACCTCCAGGGAACAAGCTGGGCCCGTCTGTACCCCACCTCCAGGGGACAGGCTGGGTGCTTCTGCACCTCACTTCCAGGGGACAGGCTGGGCCCCTCTGCACTGCACCTCCAGCGGATGCTTGGGTATGTAGGGCCTAGGCCCTGGCTAATAATCACTCACCCACGGCCCAGCCAGGGAGCTGAGAGCTGAGAGCGAGCAGTCACCCGTTGCACCCCAAGGCTGGGAGCCACCAGCAGGGGCAAAGCCCATTGAGCTATGCTTCCCA